GGGGGGGGGGGGGGGGGGGGGGGGGGGGGGGGGGGGGGGGGGGGGGGGGGGGGGGGGGGGGGGCTGTACGTGGATGGGGAGGGGGTGTTGGTTGGTAGGCGCTCTGATACAGTTCGGAAGGCAAGGTAGAGGAAAGGAACAAGGGGGCTAGTGAGGAGTGGGGAATGATTAGTGGTGGTAGCGGCTGTAGGGAAGGGGATGATTGGTGTTCAGATGCCACCCTGCAGGCAGGGTTTGGGGACAGGATAGGGTTGGTGAACAAGCTTATTTATAAAGCTGATGCGTAGGTAAAACTGAGAGCCCTCAGCTTTACTTAAGCATTAGCTTCATAGATGGGGAAGTCCCCTACTGATGATGGTTTTTCATTTGCTTTCCTTGCTTTTATTTTCTTTCTTGCTTTTACTTTTTTCTTGCTTTCCTCCTTCCCACCCAACCCTGTTACGTAATCTAGGCAACTGCCAAGGATTTACGCCACGTGGACCATTCACCCACCCACCTGAACGCCTTTTCCCTGCCTCGAATCCCCGCGCGCGAAATCCGCACACATCACCCCCTTCACATCCACCCCAATCCCTTCTCCGTGTCTCGAATCCTACACCCTAAAAATATGCTCATGCACTACCAACCCTACTCTCTCCTCCTGTGCCTTCTGCAGTATATCCCCTATCGAGTACTTTCCATATCCCGCGTATTCGCGGCAAAAACTAGCAGCACGGCCCCTTCCTTTTCGCCCATCACCCCTCTCTTCTTTCTTCCCTACGTGGCTATACTACGTAACTAATCAATTCATCCTACCAACCTCCTCCCTCTACTTTCAGTTCCTGAGGTCGGAACCCGCAAACAAAACCCCTCCCCACTCCCATCTGTGGCATTCAACTTTCTATGCCGCAACGGGGTAAGGATATCCGAAAAAATCAGCCGCAGATTATGTACAGACGACAAGCCGAGCCGATCCGTGTTTTAGTAACTATCTGTGCCAGCATGGAGTGCTTCCGAGACGGTAAGCGAACATCTGGACAGTACCCACTGCGATTTTGCGTATATGTGCTCAACGTTGATGTTTTTGATATTAACGGAAGTACACAAAGAAAACTGCATAAGAAGAAAAAAAGAAGTTTTACGTGGAGCTTGTGCTGTATGCGCAAATGAACAAAGACGATTTAGTGGAGATTGTTTCAAATTCTGTAGCCCGAGGTCCTGAAGCAGCACAGTCATTTTCTGGTCCTTCAAACGTTTCGCTACGTGGTAAGCGTCAAGCCCACAGAAGAAATTCTCGCATGTTGAGAGTGTGATGCTAGAATAAATCAGACGTTTCAACATCAGATGAGAGAAAATCGTATTTGTCAAACTGTGACCGAAACAAACACATTTTCTTCTACAGTCTACAGTAAGAAATGATAATCTGAATTTGAACTCGACAGTTATACTTCCAAAAAAAACAAGTCTGGTTTGGCTGCCAGGATCTTTGGGAAAATAGACAAGTTAGGATCTTCGGGACTGCAGCATTAATTCCCGCAAAAGTTTCTGCTACTGTTGACATTATAAGAAGCACAGATGTCACGTTCTTATTAGAAAATGTCAATCAATGTCGTTTAGATAATAGGGGCTGCGTGATAGCGTGTATCACTCATTTAAAGAAATAATTATATAAAAATTTTTTACACGAAATACATGAAACGCGTTACGGAAAATCAGTCCTAAACCAGCGCAGAATCATTCAACTTCTACATGTTTATTTTCACCAACTTCAGCAAAAAACTTGCAAAGAAAGATAAAAAGCGCACCCCATGAAATCGACACAGATAACTGCCTGGTATTGTTGTTTGACAACCGCGGCTATTAGGGGACTGGGCGCACACCGTCGTGTTCGGCATTCAAATTCACGCAACACTGCTAGTACATTCAAATGCCCTCCGGCAGCTGCTAACGCCAATGCTGTTGTACCATAAAACCTAAAACTTCCCCGGTAAGCCATTGCAACGATCCTACCACATTCACTGATACAGCCTGACATCACCACTGAATGCAGAGGAAGGTGAATTGTGGAATGCAGTAATAAGAGACAAGCATGTTGAAACGTTACGTGGTTCGACACGGATCAGCATTGTGTCGGATTAACAATTCCACAACTTCTGCCTTCCCATTCCGGGCAGCATGCAGAAGTGGCGTGAACCCGCAGTCATTACATTTATCTACTGCTGCACCACGGTTCAGTAAAAGCTTCACCTATAATAAAAGCACAAACATTAACAAACGGGAATGTGTACGAAAGAATGAGCCGAAACATCTCTTTTCAGTTATAAATATATTATCTGTTTCCATTCATCCAATAAATTAGACATTTTTGTGTACAGATATGTTCTTTACTTTTTTACTACCAAGAATACCAAAGCCGCCCTTGTTATCAGTGCGGGTATCCCACAGTGATGTCAGTAGGATGTCCCCACAGTCAAGCTCTACTGTGACAGCCCTTTCGATCTTGAGCTGCATGCCTCCAGTTAGTAGCCAGTACGTATTCGTTGCATAAGCACTACCTCGCCAGAGTGATCGCTTACTTTCATGTGGATACCGCTTACTAATGCACATTGTCCACCATGTGTTGGCAAGGCGAGTAACATGTTCAGCCCATCCGATTTAATTTTCTCGCGTGGCCGCAGTGATATTCTGCAGCTGCTATTTCAGCCTCTAGAAGAGGTAGCAAAATGCACCGGTCACTTTTACCACTGACCATTGGTAGGTTACCCTGCGCAGCAGCGATTTGAAGCGCAGTGGTGTGAGCATCATCTACCACATCCACTGATAATCCGTTCGCCAAGATTCCAGCGATGCCATCCAGATCCGCTGCACAGGCGAAATCCAAAAACCTTTCTACTTCTTCCAGTACGTCAGCATCCTGCACTTCCACCACGTCCATCCTGCTTCCTAAATCCGAAACACTTCTTTTTTTTTAAAAAAAATTTCCTTGACTTATACGAAAGCAGCGAAGTGACAAGTCAGAAGAACCGCTCTAGCAACATTTCCACTTTTCAGCAAAGAACTGGAATTGGATGGTGGGAGCGGATGAGGGCGGTCGTTCGCTGCAAAATGCATCCACTTTGGTTGAAACCTGCGTAAAAAGCTGAGCAAAAACGTGTGCTCGCACTGACTGGCCTGGTGCATTTCAAGCTGGGTTTTTTTTT